CATTTGATAGTGTTTTCCTTCAACTTGAAGAAATTATTTAATATTTCTTGTAATGCAGGTCTGTTGATAAATTCTCTTATTGTTGGTCTGAAACCATCTTTGATTTTTGCTTTCATTTTTGTAAACTATTTTCTCTGGATATAGAATTCCAGGTTGACCTTTTTTTTCTTTCAGCTGTTTAAAGATATCATTGCATTGTTTTGATGAGAAAGCAGCAGTCATTGCTGTTATTGTTTCTGTAGGTAGTGTGTCTTTTTTTTTCTAGCAGCTTCTAAGATTTTCTCTTTTTCATTGATTTCACAAATTTGGTTCTCATGGGACTTGATTTTTTTTCTAGTTTTCCCGCTTTAGGTTGATTGAGCCTCTAAGATCAGTGGATTCATAGATTTCATCACATTTGCAAAATTTATGGACATTATTTAAAATTCAAATAAAATTTCCTAACTTAGTCTCTTTTTTTAAGCTGTGGTGGGCAGCCTAGTCTGAAAGTAGTTACTCTGGGTTTTCTTTTTTCTTTTAATTACAAAAGCAGTACATACTTTGAACAAATTCAAACAATGCAGAAGTAACAAAAAGATCGTTTTATCTTCTCAATTTGCATTCTTCATAGAAACTTATATTAATGGTTTAATATAAAGCCTTCTTTGCTTATATGAACCTGTACATAGATGGATTGACTTTTTTTAGGTAAAAAATCAAGATCATCTTATGTATTTTGTTCTTCAGCTTGCTCCCGCACTTACTGTATTGATGATGTCTTTCCCAGTCAGTGTGCACAGGTGTAATCCAGTCTTTTAAATGAAGCCACAGCATTCCATTGTGAGAATGTGAACCACGTTTTATTTATCTGTTCCCCTCTTAGTAGAAATTTAGATTGTGTACCGTGGCTTGTTTTATTCTTTCTCTTCCCCTCTTTGTCCCTTTCCCCCTCTAACAGCACTGGAAAAGACATCTATTTGTCCATGGGTGTAGCATACAAAATGTAGCTACTGCCATATTTCCTTCCTGAAAGTTATACTTATTATACAACCATGTAAAAGGTATGATTATAAAGCTATTTCTTTTCTCCATTGTCAGCACCATATGTTACCTATTTCTAAAATATTCATCAGGTTAGGCAGAGGGAAAAAAGCATCTCATTTCCAATTTGCATATGTTTAGTTATATGGTAGGGCATATGTTAAGTTGCTTTTTTTTTTTTTTGTGAATTGTTAGATCATATCCTTTTGACTATATTCCTCTTGGATTATCTGACTTTTCCTTATTGACTATTTTCTTACTTGACTATTTCCTTATTATTTCTATATAGTATGAATGTTACCCTTTGTCATATATGTTGCAGATATTTTTCCCAATCCATTTGTCTTTTAAATGTGTTATAGTGTCTTTTTTTTTCCATGGAGCATTTTTTTTTTTTTTTGGTAACTGCATTTGTCACTTTTCCTTTATAGCTTCCAAGTTTTGTATGCTTTCACCTTTCTTATTCTAGGATTGTAAAAAATTTCTCATATCTTCTACTAACACTTTAATTTCAAACATTTAAATATTTAGCTCCTCTGCATGGCTTTTTTTTTTTGCGGTACGCGGGCCTCTCACTGTTGTGGCCTCTCCCATTGCGGAGCACAGGCTCCGGACGCGCAGGCTCAGCGGCCATGGCTCAGGGGCCCAGCTGCTCCATGGCATGTGGGATCTTCCCGGACCGGGGCACGAACCCGTGTCGCCTGCATCGGCAGGCGGACTCCCAAACACTGCGCCACCAGGGAAGCCCCTGCATGGCTTTTAGCGCCACTAGTTTACTCTTACTCACTGGTTCTTGATGTAAAAGTCAAAGTTGGGAGAGAGTGTTCATTGAACCCTTGGTGATCGTCCCATGGTCACACCCAGCTGTTTTATGGCAGCACTGAGAATAAAACCCGGTGTTCCTTCTTTGTAATTTTTTCCCTTTTCCAGTTCTAGTTTGGGTACGTGAGCACTGGATTGAAGTGTGCTCCTTTAGCCCTTGAGTGCTGTTGTGTCCCAGCCGAGCACGAAATGCTGGTGGTGAAGTTATGAACAATACGGACACAGCACCTGACATTTTGGAATTTATAGTTTAATGCATAAGGCAGACAATAAAAAGTAGACAAATATATACTGATATGGGATAAGAGCTGTGAAAGACATGAAATCATTGGAATGGAGAAGAACAACGGAGCCTCGAGGCTGCTTAGACAGGGTGGTCAGAGCACACTGCCTAAGCAAGCAAGATTTAAATTGAGACGTGAAAGATGGAAAGGAGCCAGGGACCGGTTCGGGGAAGAGTATTCCAGGCAGAGCAGACAGCACTGACAGGAGCTCTGAGGTGCAAGCAAGCTCGGCAGTGGGGCAGGTTGAAGGGGCCGCATGGCTGTAAATGGTTTCACCAGCAACGTGGCAGCTGTCACACTGCTGGTTAACTTTATCATCAGCCCGTTTCAATACTTTTCAGAAAACTCCGTTGACACTGGCTTTGTACAAATCTGTGCTGTTCGTTCCTCTCCAAAACCACACAGGGTGCTGGAAAAATCTGATGATAATGTCTTTACTTTCACATTGTTATGGGAAATCTTCTCTTGTAATGAAAACATACCTTTATCTGGGTCAAAACACATGCCGAGTTTTCTGGAGCTGCTGGTTATAACTGGAAGTAATAGTAAAAACAAAGTCCCTTCAGGTGGAACTTACTTCAGACAGTTACGGAAGGTAGTACATAAATCTATTTATCCTCCTGTCAAAATGAAGAGGAAAGATGTTATCGCAGGTAAAACAGAGACAGTGGAAACATGTTGCTGTGTTTCTTTAGAACATGAATATTTTTCAGGGCATTAAATTGTCCTCTTGCTGGTGTTTGTGTAGCATCTGTGTATTTGTGGGTCTTGAAGTATTCTGTTGTTTATCATTTTGTGCTTAAGTTTACTTCCAAGTTTCATTGTTTTTTAAAGCTGAGGACAGAGAACTGATCTTTTCCTTCATTTTATTCTCACCTTTAAAAAATTGCTTTTCCAAAGTGTATGCAGTATTTCGTTAGGCTTTAATAAAATTCCCTAGACCCTCCTGTGTTCGGGGGCCTCTCTTGGCTTTTTTTGGCATGCTTTTTACCTTTGAGAAATAGTCAGAGTGAAGAAAGTCGTTGACATCTGGTATACTTTTCCCATATACAGAACGTATTTTACATATATTGCAGAGGTGAGGGGGGTTTAAATTCTACCGTACCTCTGTTAGGTGGAGAGAAGACTTCAGTTATATAATTCACGTTTAATTGTTAGCCCCTGAGGAACGGTAAACCCTTAGCATTACTTTACCCCGTTACTATAGATTTTTCTGAGAGGCTGGGGCTTTGCTCATTAGTGAAACGTTAATCACTTTCTGTTCCAGGTCCTGGGATGGCAGTGTTGAGTAAGACATTGTCTCAGAGACTTGTGAGGGAAATAATCATGTAAACACCATCGTCTGATGTGATAAGTACTATGAGAGACTTCTGTACAGTATATTTGGGGGCACATAGAAGAGGGCAGTCAGTTCTGAAGAGTGTCAAAGAAGGAAGAGGTGACAGTTTGTTACCACAGATGGTTTAACAAGCAAGTACCCTCGGAGTAGCACTGGAGATGAACATTCTAGGGAGAAGCAACAATGTGCATGAAAGACACAGACTGGAGTATGCATGGTTTATTTGCCAGGTGGTGTGTTATTGGTGGGTTATTAGGTGTATGATGGAGGCAGGGCGGGGAGGTGAATTGGAAAGCTCTGATGGGACCATTGGTGAAGGACCTTTTATGCATGTGGAGGAGTTTGGACTTGATTTTTTTGGAAATGGATAAACCAGGGATTTTAAAGCAGGGGAAAGATGTGATTTCTTCATCTTTCTCTTTTACAAAGATAACTTCGGGTACTATTGAGGAAGGATTAGAGGGGAAGAGCCTGAAAGTGGGAAGACCTGTTAGGAGGCTGTCATGAGAGTCTATGCCAGAGATGATGAAAGCCTGAATTGTGACATTAGCAGAGGAATAGAGAGAAGGCAATAAATTTCAGAAACATTTCTGAGTCAGTAATCCTCAGGCTAAATCCAGGCTCTGACTGAGGGGCCGTGTGTTGTAATGAAGTGCACACTGCACGGGAAGGCAGCATGCTCACGTTCTGGGTTTGTTCTGATCGTGACTCCTGGTGTCACCTTGAGGCTCCTAATCATTTGGAATTTTTGCTGGTAAAGGGAAGGCACTGGTCCTACCTGGCTCTTCAGTTCTGGGATTCTAATAAGGGGAAACAGGAGCAAAGGAAGCATCAGAAACCTCAGACAAGCCTAAAACAGTTTAGAGTTTCACAGCCCCTTTCTCTTTTGCAGCTGGTAACCTTTCTCTTGTTGTACTGAAAAATTCAGAACAGAAGAAAATACCGGTGTTGGATTATTAAGGTGTTGATTCTCAAATTCTTATAATTTCGTAATTGATTGAGAACAGTTCCTGATTCAGTTGCCTAATATACATATGTATTCTTTTCTCTTTCTAATTCTGTGTCAGTATAATCCCACTTTGTTTTTCTTTACCATCTATATTTGAAATACATATCTAAAAGATCTGTTGACATTTTGAGTTTTGTTTTTTGTTTTTTGCTTTTGGAGGAACTTAACTCACTGAATTGGAATAGTTTTCTGCTTAATCTTTATGCTTTTGATCTCTCGTAATTTCATAAGTATTTTGAGGTATATCGTTCCTGAGCCTTTACCAGATGAGGGCTTGCTCAGCATTCAGCAGACCACTGGTGTCAGTAGACTTTGCTTCTTAAGTAAGTGGGGCAAGGCTTGTCACGGTTTACATTTTCCACTCTTACTTGAAGTGGCTTTCTGGGAGCTGTTCTTTTCTACTGAACAGGAGTTTTAGAGACCCTTAGGAAATGATGTCATACTTGAATACTCTCTTTAGCTGCAGGAACTATAGGTATTAACTATCTTAATAATGTTAAAAGCACTTCTTTTCTTTTCATTCTAGTTCCAAAAGACCCAAAACCCCAGTGGAGATGTGTGGCATGGAGTTACGATTGCACCCTGCTGGCCTATGCCGAAAGCACGGGAACTGTGAGAGTGTTTGATCTCATGGGAAGTGAACTCTTCGTTATAATCCCGGTATGTACATACCTTAAACTGAAAACATATTTTTTTTGACTACCTTTCATGTATAGGTACTTGAATGAATGAATGTGATGAGAGGAACTATAAATGTAAATCAGAATAATAAGCTGTGAACTTAAGATGCTTAGATCTAGTTAGAGATCTGTACGTTAAGTATTTATTCTTTGCATTTTGTAATGCACTAACCAGACACAGTCTACCATTATTGTAAGATGGTAGTAAGTAAATACTAAATAGAGGTGCAGAAAGCTGTTGTAAAGTTCCAGCGTAGGAAAGAAGTCAGTGGGCCTTAGCAACAGAACCAGCCTGGGAGGAGTTAGAATTTGTTACCCTAAAGGGATAGAAACTGAAATGGAGAGTGGAGAAAAAAATTAATGGTGGTAATAACTTATATTTGTGTAGTGCTTTGTACTTTATTAATGACTTTGATATACATTCCTGTTTAATATTCACAACACCCTTTGAGTAGATTGGGTACTTATTACCCTCATTTTACAGTTTAGAGAGCATAAATTGTGAGGAAGTAAAATGACTTTTCCCGTGGTAATCCAGTTAATTAGTGTCTCTTTTAGGAATTCGGGGCTCTTTACTTTGTATCCTCCTTCCTCAAGTGAACAAAATAAAGGGGCAGGTAGAACAGTGGTTCTAACTCTGGGTGCATCTTAGAATCACCTGCAAAGCTTTATAAAGAAAAGAAAAAGAAAAACTAAACAAATTGCTGGGTTGTCCAGGCTCCCCCCACAGAGAGTCTGACTTAATTGATCTGAGTGAGCCCTGGACTTTAATGTTTCAAGTCTTTCAGCTGATTCTAATGAGAAGCTAGGAGTGAGAACCAAGGATATAGAGAATGATTTTTGTTCAGAAATGTGTGGAAAAACTTGAAAAAGTACATTGGGCTCCTGGTATAGAAGTTCTGGGGAACCAAACTAAGTAGGTTGAGTTACTATTTTCTAGACTAGCATTGTCTAATAGAAATGTAATGTGAGCTATATATGTGATCACGTGTGTAATTTAAAATTTTTTAGTAACATTAAGTTCAGGTGAAATTTATTTGATATATTTTATTTATTACAACATATCTAAAATGATTACATGTTGAAATGACAGTGTAAAAATGATTGATGAACTATTTCACGTTCTTTCTTTGGTACTAAGTCCTTGAAATTTGGCGTGTATTTTTACATTTATAGCATATCTCAATTTGGACTAGCCATGTATCAAGTGTTCAGCAGCTACATGTGGCTGCCCTGTTTTATTGAGCGGTTCTAGACAATGAGGAGCCATTCAGGGTAGGAAACTTCATTATGTGCTTCACTGTGTGTGCTATGGTGCACGTGCCCTCCAGATCCTCAGCAAATATAGCTTGATATTTAGTTGATAGAAAAAGGCTGGCATTGAGTGAGTGTTTTAAGTGTCCTTCCCTTTAAATTGCTGATTAGGCAAATGGAAGTAACTGGAGGCATTTCTCTTTCTTTCTTTTTTTTTTAGCATTGGTTACTACTGGCAGTGGAAATTAACATTTGAGAGCTTATGTCTGAATTCTATATGGTAGAATTCTTTGAGGCAGAATGATAGCATTAGTTTTTTTTTTTTTTTTTCTTCTTTTTTTGCAATGGAAGTATAGTCTGAACAGAAATTCACCTACTAGGTGAACATCTCACCCAAAGAGGCTGCTGTGGTTCCAACCTGTGGTTGGGGGAGGGCTGGTCTAGAGTTGGGTGTCTAGTTCTAGGCACTTAGGCTTACATGATTCTTCACATACGATCAATTCTGGGCTATCTTACTTAAAGGATACCTGGCAGGGCTAGTGTCTTGAATGTCCTTCAATTATACATATGTTAACTTCTATCTAGTATCTTTTTAGTAACTTAATTTCCTCCTCTTTCACAGGCATCTAGTTTAGCAGGTGATCTGAGCTATGCCATTGCTGGGTTGATATTTTTAGAGTATAAAGCAAGTGCACAGTGGTCTGCAGAACTCTTGGTCATCAATTACCGAGGAGAACTTAGAAGCTACCTTGTAAGGTAAAAATGCACTTTATTTGGGATGCCCTGTTTGAAATAATGTTTATTTCTCTGCTTTCGTGTCAGATTTTGGTGCTTTTTTTTCCTTTTAGCATTTTATTATGAAAAATTACAAATATAAAAGGAAGGTTGAAAGACTTTTATAGTGAACTCTCATATACCTCCACTTAAATTCTGTTTAGCATTTTACTATACTTGCTGTGTCATATTTTGACCCATCTTTCTATCTGGCCATTATTCAGTTCTATTTTTTAATATATTTCAGAGTCAGTACATATATACTTTAGCATGCATATCATTAATTAAAGTTCATTAATTCAAGTTCAATATTTGCTTATAGTTTTCTTTCATTTGAAATAAAATTTGCATACAGTGAAATGCACAGATCTTAAGTGTACCACCAGCCCATGAGTTATGACGAATGCATACGCTTGTGCAAGTCAAACCCCTGTCAAGATACAGAACATTACCATCATGCTATTAAGTTCCCTCATGCCTCTTCCCAGTAAATCTTTGTCCACACCCACCCTCAGAGCAACTGCTGTTTATAATTTTTTTCCATCATAGATTAGTTTTGCCTGTTCTAGTGATTTACCTTAACGGCCTCAGAGAGTATGTACTCTTTTGTCTAAGTCTTCTTTCCTTCAGCTTATCTTGAGATTCATCCTTATTTTTACATGTATCTGTAATTTATTCTTTTTATGGCTGATTAGTATTTCATTGTATGAGTATCTCATTTGTCTTCGTTTGGGCTGCTGTAACAGAATACCATAAACTGGGTGGCTTATCAACAACAGAAATTTATTTATGACAGTTCTGGAAGCTGGAAGTCTGAGATCAGGGTGCCAGCATGGTCAGGTTCTGGTGAGAGCCCTCTTGTGGGTTGCAGACTGCCGACTTCTCCTTGAATCCACACATGGTGGAAAGAGAGCTAGTTAGCTCTCCAGCCTCTTCTTATAAGGACACTAATCCCATTCATGAGGGTTCCTTTCTTTTGCCCTACCTAATAGATCCCAAAGACTCCTCCTCCAAGTACCATCACATTGGCATTAGGGTCTTATATGAGTTTTGGGGTATACAGACATTCAATCTATGGGGGTCACAAACCTTCAGTCCATAACACTCATGATTTGTTTATCCATTCTTCTATTGATGGACCTCTAAGTTTCTGGTTTTGTGAATAAGGCTGCTGTGACTAATCTCGTACAAGTCTTTTTTTTTTTTTTAATTTTTTTTTTTTTTTTTAAATATTTATTTATTTATTTATAAATAAATATTTATTTATTTATTTTTAAATATAAATATTTATTTATTTATTTGGCTATGCCGGGTCTTAGTTGCAACACGTGGGCTCTTCATTGCCACATGTGGGATCTTCTTTGAGGCATGCAGGATCTAGTTCCCTGACCAGGGATCGAACCCCGGGCCCCCTGTATTGGGAGCACAGAGTCTTAACCGCTGGGCCACCAGGGAAGTCCCTGTACAAGTCTTTATGAATATATGCTTTCATTTCTGTTGGGTCAGTATCTTTGAGTGGAATTGCTGAGTCATAGGATGGATAGTTTGGTTTTATAAGAAATTGCCAGAGCTTTTTCAAAGTGGTCATATCATTCATATTCCTACTAATAATTTATCAGAGCTCTGGTAGTTTTATATCCTCAGCAGTATTTGGTGGTGTCTATCTTTTTAATTTTAAACATTTTAATGGGTATATAGTGGTATCTCACTGTGGTTTAATGGTATTTATTTCTTATTTACCTTCTTGAATGTAGTGTTGGAACAAATCAGAGCTATCAAGAGAGTCACTGTTTCAGCTTCAGTAGTCATTATCCTCATGGAATCAACACAGCTATTTACCATCCTGGGCACAGGTAAGCAACTGTTTGCTCTCGTATTTGGTGGAGTATTAGGTGGATGTAGAAGTCTTGGCACAGTTTCAGAGAGAAGAAGTTGTCCGTTCTGATTTTTATTTTGGTTTATTTATTTCCTCCCCTTGTGTATAGTTATCCTAACGTCCGTAATATTGTTGCAGTCATCTTCTTTTTTTTTTTTTAATTTATTATTTTTGGCTGCGTTGGGTCTTCGTTGCTGCACGCAGGCTTTCTCTAGTTGCGGTGAGCGGGGGCTACTCTTCGTTGTGGTGCGCAGGCTTCTCATTGTGGTGGCTTCTCTTGTTGTGGAACACGGGCTCTAGGCACATGGGCTTCAGTAGTTGCAGCACGAGGGCTCAGTAGTTGCGGAACATGGGCTCAGTAGTTGTGACTCGCAGGCTCTAGAGCATAGGCTCAGTAGTTGTGGTGCATGGGCTCTGTTGCTCCGGGTCATATGGGATCTTCCCAGACCAGGGATCGAACCCGTGTGCCCTGCATTCGCAGGCGGATTGTTAACCACTGCGCCACCAAGGAAGTCCCTGTTGCAATCATCTTCTGAACATTCATGCTCATCTGTTTGGCAGACTGAGCTTCTCTTGAGTCCGATCGGGCACTGGGAATATCCATTGAGGGATATCTTCTCTCTTAGTTCTCTAAATCTTATTTTTCTTATCTGTAAAATGAGGCTAATACATAACACATAGCATTGTTGAGAGAGTTAAAAAATAGTGCATGTGAAATGCCCTTGCATAGCAGGGCCTCAATAGATGTTCTTCCCTTCTCCTTTCCTTCTTTGCAAGGTAGGGCTGCATTGATTGCTGCATAGTCGATTCCTACCACTACAGGCACAACTGTGGACTCAGTTCCAGACCCCTGCAATAAAGGGGATAGTGCAATACAGAAAGTCACACGAATTTTTTGATTTCCTAGTGCCTATAAAAGTATGTTTACACTATACTGTAGTCTGTTAAGTGTGCAGTAGTATTCTGTCTAAAAAAAATGTAAATAGCTTAATGAAAAAATACAGAACAAAAAACAATTACAACAGTAACATCAGAGATCACTGATCACAGATCACCATTAACAAATATAATAATAATGAAAAAGTTTGAAATATTGAGAGAATTGCCTCTCAATATTTGCTGATCTAGTAGGTGTAAAAGAGTATCTCATTGTAGTTTTAATTTGAGTTTCCCTGATAACTGATGAGATTGAGAAACTTTTCATGTGATTGGCCATTCATATTTCTTATCTGTAGAATGCTTTTTTATATCATTTCTTATTTTTTTATTGGGTGTTTGATCTTGACATTCTTCTATAATCTGGATATTAATTCTGGGTTGATTATATGCATGATGAGTATCTTCTCCCAACATGTGACTTTTTTTTCCTTATAATTTACCTTTTATGAATTATATCTGCACGTAGTTCCAAGTATTAAATAGTTTGAAAAACTGACTCCTCCACCCAATTTCTTGCTTTCCAAAGGTAACCACTTTTAGCTCATTTTATTTTTTAAAAATTTTTATTGGAGTATAGTTGATTTAAAATGTCATGTTAGAGTCTACTGTACAGCAAAATGAATCAGTTATGCATATACATATATCCACTATTTTTTAGATTCTTTTCCCATATAGGTCATTACAGAGTATTGAGTAGAGTTCCCTGTGCTATACAGTAGGCCCTTATTAGTTATCTATTTTATTGTAGTGTGTATATGTCAATCCCAATCTACTAATTTATCCCTCCCTACCCCCTTTCTCCCTGGTAACCATGTTTGTTTTTTATATCTGCGACTCTATTTCTGTTTTGTAAATATTTTCATTTGTACCATTTTTTTAGGTTCCACATATAAATGATATCATATGATGTTTGTTTTTCTCTGTCTGACTTACTTCACAGTATGACAATCTCTAGGTCCATCCATGTTGCTGCAAATGACATTATTTCATTCTTTTTTATGGCTGGGTAATAATTCCATTGTATATTTGTACCATATCTTTTTTAAACATTCCTCTGTCGATGGACATTTAGGTGCTTCCATGTCCTGGCTGTTGTAAATAGTGCTTAGCTTATTTTAGTTGATTCCTTTGGCTATATTTTGGTGAATCACAACCTTCTGTAACCTCCTAAGAAAGAATTCATGGGAAGTATATTTTTTGAGGGCTTGTATGTCTAAAGATGCTCTTGAGAGTTTTAATGTTACTCTAGTGTAAAATCCATTTTTTTTTTGTCTATTTTTTTGGTCCCCCTTCTGTCTGAAAGCTGAGATTTTATTTTATATTTTCCCCCAGTGTTCTGAAATTTGACTGTGTTATGTCTTGGGGTAGGTTTTTTTGTTTTTTTTTTCAAATATCCATGGTGTTGGCCATTCAATTTGGATACTCACCTTTGGGAAAATTCACTGAATTATTTCTTTGATTATTTCTTCCCCTCTATTTCCTCTCTTCTCTCCAGAATGTCTGTTATCTAGATGTTGAGTATCCTGGACTCACCTTTAATTTTCTCATTCTCTTTTTTTCCCCTTTGTTGTTGTTGAAAAAGAGAAGTAAAAGATTATTTCAATTTTTTCTGTATAGCTATTTACTTAAGGAAGAAAGTAGTTTGAAGCACTATTGATATCTATTATAATGAATTGATACATATGATCTTGTTTAGAAAAAAATCATGTATTCTGGTTAATTTTTTCTGATATATCTTCTATTTACTATTTCTTCTGTGCCTTATCTCTTTTTAAAACTAGTCATTGTATTTTTAGTTTCATTGTATTTTTACTTTCATTTTTTATATTTGTCATTTCTAGAAGTTCTATGTAGTTATTTTAAGAATCTTTCTTAGGAAGGGAGAAAAAGGAACTGAAATGAGTATTCAGTGAGGCACTAGTTGTTTTGAGGATTAAATACATAATGGATATTCAGGAAATGATAGGATTGAATAAATATAATACTATTAATTTTTACCTTTTGATTTGTGTAGATTCTGTCTTGAAGAGTCTGTTGGTATATCCTTAAGAAATTTGAAGATCAGTTTCAAAAGTCTAGCCAATTAAAAAATTTAAAAATTAAGAAAGAATTTTCTAAATACAATAAATCTGAAATGCTAATACAACTTTGTTTTACTTTAGATGAAGCTGAGTGATCCCATTCGGAGTAGAGTTCTTCACATTTTATAAAATTGAATGTAATTGTATAAGCTGCAAATAATTGTTTTCGTAAATCAAATATTTCTTTTGATGATAAAATAAACATTATAAGAAAAAGAAAATTGTGGTGTTTTTTTTTTTTGCGGTACACGGGCCTCTCACTGTTGTGGCCGCTCCTGTTGCGGAGCACAGGCTCCGGACGCGCAGGCTCAGCGGCCATGGCTCACGGGCCCAGCCGCTCCACGGCATGTGGGATCCTCCCGGACCGGGGCACGACCTCGTGTGCCCTGTATCGGCAGGCGGGCTCTCAACCACTGCGCCACCAGGGAAGCCCGAAAATTGTGTTTTTTTAAAAAAATTAATTAATTAATTTATTTTTGGCCACGTTAAGTTTTCATTGCTGCGCGCGGGCTTTCTCTAGTTTTGGCGAGCGGCGGCTACTCTTCATTGCGGTGCGCGGGCTTCTCATTGCGGTGGCTTCTCTTGTTTGGCACGCGGGCTTCAGTAGTTCTGGCACACAAGCTCAGTAGTTGCGGCTCGCGGTCTCTAGAGCGCAGGCTCAGTAGTTGTGGCGCCTGGGCTTAGTTGCCCCTCGGCATGTGGGATCTTCCCGGAACAGGGCTGGAACCCGTGTCCTCTGCAATGGCAGGTGGATTCTTAACCACTGCGCCACCAGGGAAGTCCCTGTTGTTTTTTACTCTTGCCAACTTCTTATATAAAGTATGGCCTTTTAATGTTTGTTCTTATGTTTCAGATCTTGTATTTTCCTTGCATGGCTTCACTAATGTGTCATCACTAAGTTCTGCTGCTAGAAAGGGGATGGAATGTGTTTTGCTTTGACTTGCTTAGTTCTCTGTTGTGAATTTTGCGAAGGCTAGACAGTGCATACTCACAGTGTCACCATATATCGCACCCATGACGCTCCAATTGCTGGTTTGATTTTTGTTGAGGGTGACCTATTTCTTTATGTTTACATCTTCTTTGATACCATGTTTTATTGTATAAACTCCAAGTGAGGTTTGCTCTTTTAAGTCCTTTTCTTGGTTTAGTTCAACTTATTTTTATTGTTTTAGTGCAGTTATTAATATCTTTCTCAGCACTTATATACATTAAAAAAATTAATCTATTGTCCCTTAAAAAGTATATGTGTTCTGTTAGGGGAATTGTCTGCCTGTATTAGTAAAGATTGATGAGGTAGAAAGTCTGTTCTATTGTTATTTGGCCTTTCCATTACTGTCTTATTTATTGTGGCTTGCTGTGTGCAACACAATGTTAGGTTTGTGGAAGATATAAAGATGGAGAACAATCCTGACTTCAAGGTCTCATATTCTTGAATGAGAAATAATATACACATATATGTATATGCATATGTGGTTGACCCTTGAATGACATGAGTTTGAGCTGCGCAGGTCCACTTATACATGGATTTTTTCCACTAAATACATGCTATAGGAATACATGATCTCCGGTTGGTTGAGTATTACATGCATGCGTGGATAGGGAGGCCTGACTATAAAGTTATACACAGATTTTTGACTGCTAGGGGTGGGGATTGGTGCCCCTAACCCGTTACTGTGCTGTTCAGGGGTCAACTGTATATCTAACATATATATATATATATATATATATATATATGTAATGTCAAATATATATATTTCTTTTTCTATTTAAATATGTGTGTGTGTATATATGTACACATACACACACATATATAACAGGATTGCAAACTGGAAAGAAGTAAGGGCCTTAAAAGAGTGCACATATAGTGATGTGGGGATCCAGATAAAGGAGATATTATTTCCTTGAAGGATCAGGGGAGTATGGCAGGTGGCATTAGGACTTACTTTGCAGAATGGAT